TCAAAACACTTTTGCCTTACCTGTTACAATTAAGCTATTGTTTTGCTTAGGAAAGTGGCCTGACTTAATTCAGGTTTGTGCCTCAGAATAAACTGAAATAATTAATACCTCTGTGTGTGCCTAATGATGTGAGCCCTGCAGCCACTAAAGCACCTGTCTCAATGTCTAAACAGTCAGGGTTCCCTATAGTGCATGGGTAGAGATTCACATAACAAAAAAGGCAATTAGACAATGTTAGGGATTTGAAATTAACTAACAATGCAGGGAAATTGCCAGGGAAGGATTAGTTATCTTTTGCCTGATAAAGTAGGTATCAATGGAAAACTCTTAAATTGTCCTTCCATAGTGGCTCCATATGGGAAGTTTTATGTGTAATGACGACTGTCAGGGTTAAGCCCTAAAAACCAAGATCTGGAAAGCTGAAAGTGTTCTTAAATTAGCATTTCTACTACCTTTTCAGGTCAGTCCTAAATCTGCTAGTTTCTGCTAGTTTTGACTGTGCCTCTAATGGCAACCTATTGTGTCCAAACAGAAAATTCTCCATGATTTTATCACCACTTTTGTGGCCTGAAAATGACTCCAAAAGGATGATCTGCAGCATTTGGGTTTTGAAAGAGCTGCATTAATAGTATTGCCTTATCGTGGGTCTTAGAAGGTATATATGCTCTTTCATGTGTCTGTCCTGTAAGACACTGACCATACCTCCCAACTTGTGCTGGTCTTTCTGGCTGGACAGCTTCTCAGCATGTGAAGTAATTGGCTTTGAAGTTTGCTCCATCAGCTGCTTCATAGTGCAGCTTTCTGTGTTGGTTGGTTATTTTGATGAGTCGTGAGAGCGATGGGCTGGCTGGCTGATTGCTGAGGTGTTCCTCCTGGCTGGGTGACAGGCTTGCTGTTTGACCTCGGCCAACTGGCTTTAACTCCAGTGGGCGATAGCGGCTAATATTTTCCAAGGCATCTAGGTGATTTAGGAGCCCATGGCTCACCCTAAAAGCGGTTGATGCATTTGGAAAATGTTACTCTATTAAACTTACCCCAAAGGGATATAGTATGGGCTAATTTATGTTTGTAAGACAGCCTGGGGTCTCAGATTCCTGTGATGTGAATATCTTGCACTCTCCTCTTTCTACAGAGGCAAACAAGATCCATTCCTGCGGTTGTTTCACCAGACAGTCAGGCTGTACTGAAACTGCATCTGCTGATAAGAAAGTAACTTCTACATAAATCACATAGGCAGGTCTCTGAAGCCCAGAAATAAGAACTTCTGGCTCCAATAACAAAAGCCTGGGCTGTCCGACCTAAGGAAGGTTGCCCACTGCTCTCGTAGCACTCAATCCATAGCCCTTCCTCTGGCATTGCCAACTGCGGCCACATGGCAAAAGCTCACCGAGCTGGCAGGTTTGGTGAGGATGGCAGTGGGCCACCAAAGCAGCCAAAAAGGAGCTGCCCTGCTGGCTGCATGGGGCTTACTCATGCCTCAGCAGGCACCTGGGGGACAATGAGGTGGTCCATTCTTGAGTTTTGTTTGCTCTGCTCTTGGTTGATGCCCTTGATTGCTGAAGAGAGGTCAGACATCAGAAAGAGGGTTGAGAGAGGTGCATGATGGCCCCAGATTGGAGACAGGGTTGTAGCAACAGGGCTGAGATGCATGGGAGACCTGGCCATGCAAAGGAAGGTGTACTTTATCTGTGTGTTCTTCATTCTTGCTCACATATTCCTTAAATATCTTTATATTCCGCTGCAGAATAGCAATAGTGGCCTGAGGTGACCAGCACGTATCTGTGATGCTCCATGTGGCATCTAACCACCCTCCTGTCCTCAAAGAAAGTCATTAATTAAATTTAAGTGTCTCTTGCTGAATTTCCTATATGGATCTTTTTATGTCTTAATCTGGTCATTAGGATTTTTGTGGCTTGTGTGTAGTTGTACTGCATGAGTTCTTTAATACATCATCCTGAGGGCAAAAGTGTAGATATGAGAGGGGCAAGAGAGTGGAAGAGTGGCTTCTCTGTGGGCATCTGAAATGAATGAGAAGTGGGGGAAAAAACAAAGGATTAAGAAATAACTAAAGGGTAAAATAAGAAAGAAAGGAAAAGACTGTGAGGAATACTGCTATTGCTGATGGGTTTTAAAGTTGAATTTGGGCAGTAATTTTTTTTCACACTTGGTGGGAAGAAGTTGGAGGGAGTCTTGGTTGCTGTTATGCTTTCAAATTATAATCTAAGTGCTGCTATAATTATACATCATTCTGATTGCTGTGGGCTAGTGATTAGAGCATAAAACTTGGAGACAAAAAATGCACTGTTTTTCTTGACCGTAAAGAACTTGCTGGGTGGTTTTGAATGAGTTATTTCACTTCACTGTGCCTCATTTTCCTGATCTGCAAAAGAAGGATATTAATGCCTATTTTTGTAAAGGCAGTCTGAGAAACTAAATGGAAACTTCTGTATAAATGTCAAGTGTCATTATTATTGTTCTTAAACTAATCCATTGTAGTCAGCTGCTTTTATAGTTTTTATTAAAGCAAATACAATGGGAGCTACATAATTGGCTGCCTAACAATGTTGTTTTAATTAGAAAAAGACAAAAAGTGTCTGAAAAATGCAGCAGTATGTTGCCTTTTTTCATCAATTGCAAAAAATTTTGTTAGGAGTGAGCCATACCATACCAGGTAATAAAGTTACTCTGAAGTACATGTGACACAATTATGAGAAGTAACAGTCTCTGATAATTTTTGTTACATTTGGCTCAGTATTTTCCTGGCACAGTCAAAGTTTTTCCTTTTTTTTTGAGCAAGTGAGAATAAGAGTAAAAATGTATGTGTTTACTTCTTTGCCAGTATCTGAGAGATGAAGTTTTATCAGGCTGTGACTTTAAAATCCTAATTTTCAGTTGAATAGTTTGCAATGTCTGGCTTTTACACCTTTAGAAACAGTATAGCAAACACTGACACTCCTCTTCTTGGTGAGGTGGATATGACCCATCTTTTAATACAATACTGTTAGAGCAAGGTAATGGAACTTTGGGTAAAGGTTACTCTTCACATTTGCCTAAATCCTGCTTATCTGGAAGGTAATCCTCTCTCTGCCAATTCACCCTGAGGGTGGATAGTCCCAGTGATTCAGCCAAGGGCCACATGCAGAAAGTTTTATCAGCAGGGGTGTGCTGTATGGCAGGATGCTCTTAATCCAGGATGCTGATTATATTAGTAAAATTAAATGTTTGCCAGTCTAATTTGTTCTTCTTCTCCTGAATTTGTCCTGACAAGAACGGGATTTTACTGGTGTAACAGTGTTTATTTTGTGATAGAGGAAGGGGAATGTGGTTTGTTTGGTGGGGTTTTTTTGCTTTAGTTGTGGTTTTTTTTAAGAAAGGGCAATGTTGGTCATAGGTAATATGTCTTCATACATTTAAGTAATTCGGTAAAAATCTGTTATGTAGTCTTGGCCTTAACATGACCCTAGAGTCAGTAACTTGTGACCTGTCTGTCCTCATCAGCATCAGTACTGCTGCCTTCTAGGACAGCCCAATTAAGATAATTTTATGTTGCTGTAGGATGACTTAGTATCTGTAAGGCAGGCTGTGTGAAGCAGTCCTGGCTGTTCAGTTTTGGTCCCCAGAGACTGCACTGCAACAACTGCCTCTTCAAAGTGCTTTCCTGCACTAGGCACACACACTTTTTTCTCTGGGTTCATTTTCAGCCAGCTTCTCCTCATTTGCAAGCTTGTTCCCTCGAAAACCAAGGCTGTCCAGGTACAGGTATTGCATTATATGATAAGCGGAATGTGTGGGAGCAATAAGACTTCTGAACACTAATGGCTCTGTAAGGTGATGGATATAGTGCTCGTATTAATGTAATTACACCACAGCATGAAAAGACTCAAATCAGTTTCCTGGTAAGTCAGGTTCATTCAGAAGAAAAGTTTTAATGACATTTCTGCAAGGTATTGGCCTTCAAATACAGATACTGTTCCACAAAGTAGTTAAGAGCCAGGTTGAAATGAGGTTGTTTGGTGGTTTGTTATGTGTTGTTTTTTTTTTTTTAAATTCTTATACTTTTGAGGACATCTGTGAGGATTGTTCTTTTCTTGTTTGGTCAGCATCTTACCACTGTACCGTTTGTATCAGGTGTAGTGAGTGCACAAAGACTGTGTGAGAGGGCAAACAATTAATTTTATCTTTTTATCCTGATGGTAAAAAAATAACACTAAATTTATGAAAATAATGTGATTTTTTTTACTTTAAAGAAAAATCTAGCGTTGGCTTTGTATTCTGTCTGTGAACAGTTAACATAAAATATTGTCCTTGGGAATATGGGACTGCTCATCCCGTCAGTGAAGTTAGGAAGAATACTCTATGTGTAACAGCACTGGGAAGCGAGATTATTTTTCAGGATAAGTACAATAAAATTCAGGTAATACTCTTCATCAGAAAATATTTTTAAGAAAAATGCTGATGAACATTTGTTTAGTTCCATTATTAGGTAGGTTTTATTTTCTTTCTCAGTAAGAATAGTGAGTGTACATACACACACAAAAAAAGCCTTGCTCTACCATTATTCTGAATTGCAAACAACATTTTTCTGTCTGCTTTTACACTCCTTAAAATGTCTTTTTTAAGAAATGGAAAAACGGATTTGATTTTTAAGAAAGTGGTCTTGTTGCAATTCCACATCAGCAGAGTCCTCTGAGAAGATGAGATGAAAATGCAGGTGGTCGAACAAAGGAGCCACAGAAAAGAAGCCTCTTCTCAAAGAGCTCAACAGACACATATTAAAAGGAGTGGACTGAACCTCAGTCCTGTGCCTCATGATTCATCTTCAGGGAAATGAGGTCCACTATGTTTATTCTGATTGCAGTGCTAGAGGCTTCCTTGTGCTTTTCTACCAATTACTGCGGGTGGAATGCCAAATTCTGCTTTGCTATGTCAAAGTCCAGTTGGACAGCTTTCTCCCAGTTCTCCAAAAATGGACTGAAGTGAATACAGACAGAGACAATGCGTAAACTGTGATGTAAAGTTTATATACAAGAATATAACATTCATCTGGAGTATTTACAAGGTTAATTAAAGCAATATTTTACAACTCTTTTGGGTTAACCACTAGGTATATTACAGTCAGGCTACAGATGGTTTAATTTGCAAAGTAATAATAACAATAAAAAAGTTGCATTCAGATCCACCAGCTCCAAAACTTTTTTTTTCTGAGAAAGAAGGGCTCAGACTTGTGGAAAATAAAATGTGAGAATGGTTAATATACTCTTACGGGTGCCTATGTATTGCATGCAAGAGTCGTAATGTGACCTTTATAGTGTTAATACAGATGGCAAGCGATTTCACCTCAGTGAAAGAGTCGCACCCACCGTGACAGGCCAGTCACACACGTGGCTGTCTTTCTCTGCATCTCCTACTTTTGCAAAACAAACATGCACATATACAGAGAAGCTGCAATATAAATGAACCAGCATTACCAAAATGAAGAGAGAAAAACTTCAGAACAACCATAAAAATCTCAAGCTTTAAGCAAGAGACTGTAATACTTCCCAAAAATAGTCTTTTTTTTTAATTATTTTTATTATTATTACATTTTAACTTATGTACAAAAACGGAGGGGTTCCCCCCCTCTCAGAGAGCGGTCACTGTGCCTTGTGCCCAATGGCATCTCGAGGCTCAGAGGAGCCAAAGCAGGAAGGTGCGGGGGGCTCAGAGAGCTTGGGACAGAGGCGGCTGCTGGAGACAGCCAGAGGTTAAGCCACTAACACTGTAGTTTGCGGATGCTGCGGGAGAACCGCTTGAAAGCCCGCTGCCCTTTCTGCCACCGCTTCAGCGAGGTGATCACTAGTTCCCCAGCTTGCTTCTGCCCCATCACCAAGTACGGGACGTTGATGTCGTTCATCTCATCGCAGGTACACTGGAGGCCACCTTTGAGCCAGAGCACTATCTTCCTCAGATCCCTTTCTGTCAGCCCATTCAGCTTGTAGATGGTTTTGCTCTTTGTTTCGGGGGTGATCTTGGTATCCCCATTGATGTAGGCAATCTCCTTCACTTTTATCTTCAAGGCTAATAGAGCGAGGGGAGGGGGAAGTGGGGAGAGAGAGAGAGATTGAGAGGGTTTTTTCCCATTAGTGCACATAAAGAGGACCTGGGGAGGGAGGTGCTCTATTGCTAATTAAACTGTCAGGGCTGACAGAAGAGGCAGCAGGTGGCTCCATTTCTAAAGCCACAAAGGGCATGCAAGTCATTTCAGTTTGAATCAACCTTAGGGTTGAGGGTTTTTGGATTTCTTTTCTCCTCTTTCCCCTCCCCCTCTTTTCCCTTCCTTTCTAAATTAATATTTTCTCCAGCTTTTCTCCTGTTTGCAACAGGGAGAGAGTAGGTTTGCTACATTAAGCAGAGCACTATTTTTTTTTCTAGGAGAGGACAGCCTTTCTGAAAGTAGTATTTGAAGGGGAGGTGGAGAGGAAAGTACCTAGACCAAGAAACCTGATCTCTGCTGCAGCTCAAAACTTCTACACTTAATTTATTAGGCTGGAGAGGATTTTAGGCAAACCTGTAAGGAAATGATATTTCACATGCATTGTTTTTTTGAAAGAATAGATCCTATAGAGGGCAAATTGGTCCAACAGCTGCATTCGATTTGGTAAAATAACTAGGAGGGGGATGCAGGGCTCTGTAAGACTCTGTGGGGCATGTTTAGCTTTAGAAGGATTTATCTGAGTGCAATTTGCCAGGCCAAAGCTATTGGTTGTTTTAGCAATTATGTCCCACAGTCATGGTTTCAGGGTTTGGGTGGTTGTGTTTTTTGGTTTGTTTGGCTTTTTTTTTTTTTTTTTTAAGAAAGACTTTTGAATTGCTGTAAATACTTAAACTATGAATCTGTTTCCAGGTATAAACATTGACCTATTGTAAAAGGATTCCCCTCCTTATTCCTTTTCACTCTTGAAATGCTAATGTGTGGATAATGTGTCCTTCAGTTGTCTGTGTCCAAGGAGCTTTCTTGTCCTCTTCTAACCCCACATCTTCCCATTAAGTTTATATCCCCAATTGTCTGTGCATTACATTACCTTCTCTGTCAAATGATATATAGAGCTTCATTCTTAATCTGCGTAGAGTCTTTCTTACGACACATTGAGATTGGTCATGCAGCTCTGTCTCAGACGTCTAAATGAAGCTTTGCTCTACTTCTCCCTAGGCAATAGTCTGCATGAAAGATTCTTTTTTTTTTTATCATTTTACTTTCTATTTGGCTTGCCAGCAACATCCACATCCACATCCACATAAAAGAGCACCACTTCAAAACAGTAAACAGAAAAGAACGATAAAAAGGGTTACCTTTTATTCCAAGGTGGAATTTTGTGTTTCGTGACCCAACGGTCAAAGCCCTGCCTTTATTCAGGCACATCTCTCACTGACTCCACTGGGAGTTGTACCTGATCCTCGACTCTCAAGTTTCAACCGAGAGGAGCTCTGCTTCCACTTACCAAAGTCGTTTTTGCAGAGGTTTTCCACGATGTCATTATCATCTTCATTTTTGTTTTTGCAGGCATCACAGACCTTGGGTGCTGGAAATGCAAGCAACAGTCCCCGTCAGGCTCGGGGAGAAAGGAACAGCAGGTGGCGTTGGGAACCCTTTGGGAAATGTCGGTTTTCCATCCCTTCACCCCAGATCCTACCCCTTCTCCCCCCAGCTCCGGAGCTCCCGCGTACTTCGAGGCGCCTTTACCTTGCTGCAGACCCGCTACCGGGGTCTCGGTCTGTTTTTAAGGTCACACCTCAAACAGAAGTTTTTGTTTTAACGGGGAAAGGAGTAAGAGAGGGGGGTGGGCAGGGGAGGCGAGCACACGACACAGAAGCACCCCAGCTTCCCGCTTCAGCGACGATCCCTGCACAAGGAGATCGACCCTCTGGGAGCCGCGCGGCTCCATTTCTGGGTCCCAGACCTTTTCTTTGGGGATGGAGACGGGTGCGGGCCGGTGCCATTTCCCCGACGGTACCTGCGCTTTGCCCGGTCCCCTCGAGAAAACCTCCCTGAACCTGTCCGGCGTCCACCTCCCCAGTCCCCCCGTCCCGGAGCACCGGGGTGTGCTGTAATGCAAGTAAAACGCCTTCGTTCCCCTACGGAAAGCCGTGGAGGGACCCTGCTGTCGGGGCAGCTCATCGGGGACAGATGCTGCCGAGCCGGGGGTGGCCCGGCGGCTTCCTCTTACCTTCCCTGGTGACGGGGAGGATGTGGTCGCTGCTGGCCAGCGGGATGCAGAGATCGTTGTCCTTGGGGAAGCGGCTGCAGTCCAGCATGTCGGGCCAGGGGAAGCCGAAGGCGGACATCACTGGGGCGCAGCTCTCCTTCACTTCCTCGCAAAGCGAGTGGCAGGGCTGAATGATCTCGTCCAGGTCGTCGATGCAGACGGGGGCAAAGAGGGAGCAGAGGAACTTCCTGGTGTCGGGGTGGCACTGCTTCTGCACCAGCGGGATCCAGGTGGAGGCCTGCTCTAGCACCTCCTGCACCGTCTCATGCCCCAGGAGGTTCGGTAGCCGCATGCTCTGGTACTCGATACCCCGGCACAGCAGCATCGGGGCAGGGATGGGCTTACAATTGGAGCGCTTGTAGGAGAAGTCGGGCTCCCCGAAGGGGAAGATCCCGGCGGCCGAGCCCATGCAGTGGGACGCCAGCAGGAGCAGGGCGCAGAGGCGGCGCTGCATTTTGGGGCGCGGAGAAGGTGGCGGGGGGGCTGGCGAAAGGCTCGGGGGCCGGGGTGGCGGGGCGGGCGGCGCGGCGCTGCCCTCAGCCGCAGGCAGCGTCCCCCAGCCCGGGCTCCTGCTGCCAGGCGGGGACGGAGGGTCTGAGCGAGGTGCTGGGGCAAACGGGAGTTTTCTGGATTTTTTTGTATGCAAATAGCAGGGGGAGCGGGAGCTGGGAGGAGCCTGGTGACAGCCATCCAGAAAGGATTGGTCACTACTTTCTCGGTCTGCTTTTGCTCAGGGGGATTGTCTTTTGGCAGGAAATCCTTGCAAGGAACGTTACCGTGCGAGCACGGGGAAGGAGGGAAAGATCCCGGCGAACAAAGAAGCCCGAGGAGCTTCTGGGCCGGGCAGGGGGCGCGGGGCCGCCCCCAGGCCGCGGGTTGCTGGAGGTGAGCTTTGCTGCTGGCCCAGCTACTGCGGAGCGGCGGGACCCCCGCTCTGCCATGCCCCCCATGCCCACGTTTGGTGCTCTCCCTGCCAGCGGACGGGCGATGGGGCCGGGCCGGTTTCCAGACAGGGCGAGGCTGGTGCTCCCTCAGCCCCCGGGGGGTGTCTGGCACCTCCGCCCCTCCCTGCGATGCTGGCAGGTCTCGGCCCGGCGCTGGAGCCGCATGCATCAACCGGGGACTGCCGGCGTTCCCGACCCCCCTCCGGCTCGACAACGCCTAGCCCCGGGGGCTGCCCAGCGAAGCCCTTCTGCCCTCCTCCAGCCCGTCCTGCCTCTGGCTCTCCCCTGCGAGGAGCGGGGGCCTGCAGCGGACCCCAGCGGTACAGCCCCTGGATGGCCCCGACTGCCAATGGGAGTTTTCCCTGGGTGGGAGCATCCAAGTCGTTTCGAAATACTGTCACCTGGCACGTTTTTCTGGGGCTAAAAGCCTGGGCCTGGCTCTGCACAGCATAGGCACATCACTTTTGCTTCACTCTTGTCTTCACCTAGAAACTCCCATAAAGAATTGTGTTAGTGTTGATTTACCACCAAGGGGAAGACAACAGGCAAGGCACTGGGATCACAATGCAGCTTCAGTGTGCTTTGGATAATTCTTGGATTTTTAGTAATATTATTTATGGGATTATTATTGAAAAGAGTAGGCCTGTGTAGTATCATTTTGTGGTAAACCACATTCATTAATCAGCTACTGAATACTTCTCCATATAGAGATGTTTTATGGGAAGCTAGCCTTAGCCACGATGACTTCTGTAAATTGCAGGATCCCTGTACATCCATTTTCCAGACTGGGCTTCCCAGAGATGTGAGTCACTGCTTGTGGCATAGGAAAGAGATGAGACCTGCAGCATTCCCACCAGGAAGGCACAGGGCTGCCATGCTGGAGTGGCTGCAGTGCTACCCCAAGCAGGCTGTTGTCACATGCTGAAGCCAGTGCCAGGACTTTCAGAAGAGATTCCAAGATCCTTTCCAGTGGGCCAATGTGAGGAATGTAATCTCCCTGTAGGCCAGTTTTTCTCTTAAAGTGGTTTGATACCTGGAAAATAAATGTCCTGAATGTCTAGTATCACTTTTGGAAGGGCTTAGAAGTACTTTATTTCTTACAGAGCCACATATTCTTGCCATTTATTATCTATGTTCAGGTCATACATATGTATGTATGTAATCAGTACATATGTAATCTCTTCGCCTCAGTTGCCTTCCATGGTACTCAGCCCTGCTGATGACACAGTGACCATTTTACCCCTGTTTTGCCAAGTCCTAAGGATTGCCAGAGGCTGTAGCCTTTGCTACTTGCTGGAAATGTCCCTTCCAGCTCCCAGTGTTGGTTCCACCAGCCTCTGTCCGCAATCTTCTCTTCAGTGGAATGAAATCTACCAATAGGTTTGCTCTTACCCTGAATGGCCAGGCTATTCACCAGGTCTTTGTAAAATGGACAAGTTTGTAGTTTGTTTTTCTCTCTCCTTTTTTCACTGCTTGTAATTTTTTGGATATCCCTTTTTGATATCCCTTCAGGTGGATCTCAGCATGATCAGAAAACAATTTGCCTGCTCCATAAATTCCCTATATGCTACTTTCCACAGATCCAGCCAGCTAGGCTATGTGGAAGCAAAAACCTAAATCTGAGCAGACTGTTTAGACTAGAGATAATAACCATTCTCTGTGGTGGAGGATGACACATTTCTGACAGAAACTTGCTCATTTTTTTCACCAGAACTTGTTTGTTTCCAGCTCACAGGAAATAAGCAGGAAAACCACACTTTTTCCCCCCTGGATTAAGCTTTGATTTTAAATGAAGTTTTATTGAGACCTTATTATTTCCATTTTTAATCACTCCTGGTGAACTCATTTACTATAAACTTGAAATGATCCGAGATCATGTAAACAAACCCAGCCGAAGCCTACAGACCCGAGCAATCATTACTTCTCTGGCTCTGATGCCTTGCAGGTAAAAACGCCGGAGCGCAAGGCTGCCAGCTCGGGCACAGCGTTCCCAGCCCGCGGACCCCAGTGCTGTTCGCGGTCGCTGCAGGTCAGCAGGGCCCGTTCGCCATCGCAGGGCCCGCTGCAGGGACCGGTTCCCGAGGCCAGAAAACTTGCCCCCTTCCCAGGGTCCGGATGATGCTCGGCCTGCTGGCCCGGCCCCGCTCCGCCTGCAGCGCGGGTTGGGAGGGTGGGGCTGGTGCTGGGCGGCGGGGCCGGGCCGCCCGCGGGGGCCGGGGGTGTATTTCGCTCTGCCCCGGGTGCTGTTGCCCTCCTCGGCTGCCGGGGCACACGTCCGGGCCGGGGAGTGGGATGTGCACACCACGACCCGGGAGCGCTCCCGCGGATACCCGCGCTGGTGTCCTGCAGCACGCGCTCGGGCCAATAAACATCCACTATCTCGCGCTTAATTGGGAACGCAACTAGCGAGCTGGTTCCACCCCTCTTCACCCCGGAGAGTTTAACTCAGCGGGCGGGGCCCCGGCCCTTTCAGCGTAGGCGCGGTGCCGGCAGGTAAGGGCGCTGAGATCCACCTGGTGCCGGCAGGTAAGGGCGCTCAGATCCACCTCCCAGGAAAGGCGGATGGGAGGACGGTTAGGCCACCCTCCCTGATAAAGGCCTGGGCGACCTGGTCCGATCTTTCAGGAGCCAAGGAGGACGGCATTCCTAAAATGCAGTGATGTTTTAAGGTATATTTTTTTATATATTAAGGTGTATTTTTATTATTTTAAAGGGAGCATAGGCTTTTGAGCAAAATTCGTCAAGTGCCGTGGACAGTTAAGCTGCTTTAAAGGCTTGAAAGTAACATAAGCATTTAAGCCACTTTAGATGCTTAAATCTATATAAGCTGTTAAAACACCTTTAATTCTCGAGTGCTTAAATCACCTTAAATCTTGGGAGTTAAGTGAGAGAATGAGCTGCCTGGAAAGAAAGATCCCAGCTCCAGTCCCTCTGTTCCCAAACCCTCAGTAAATGTTACCTGATGGATGGTGATGAAAATGAATGAACTGTGGGGAGAGTGACTGGAGTCCTTGGTGACTGCAGGCAGTTCAGTGAAGCATTGCATTCTGAGGAGTGTGCCTGGTCTGTGCCATCTGAGTTAAAAACGTGGTGCTGCTTCCCGTTGTTTTCTGGCCTTAATTTGAACTCAGAACTTCTGTACCTTTTTCTGACCAGTCCTGAAAGCTGAGAAGTGGAAAAAGGAAGATATATTGACACTTGCATGTCTGCTAAAGAGCAGGCAAGACACTCGCTTCAAGAGAGGCAGCAATAAAGAGTATGAATTTGTTAATCTGTTGCATATTTTTCCAGATTGCTGCCTTGAGATCACTCGGTCCCTTACCTGGCTATGTACTGTATGTGGGACCTTCTTTGCTTCCCTGCCTTGACCCTATGAGATGCTTTGGTGATGTGATGAGCTTTGAGGCAAAAACTGCCATCACTGATGGCTCTTCCAGCCTGAGCCACATATTCCTCTCACAGTGACCTGCAGGCATCATCATCCTTTTCAGTTGCAGAATCATGGGCGTGGGATAACTGTGGCTGGAGGGAACCACCAGAGACCATCTAGTCCAACTTGTGCTCTAAGTTCTGACTTTAGGTGGCTTGCAACCTGACACATCTGAGACCTCACTGGGATGCCTGCATACTTGCCTGGGACCTAGGAGGCTCAGTTCAAGGCTGTGTCTCAACGTTTCTCCTCTTTCTGGAGAAAATGCTGAGCTTTCAGCTCCTGGGCAGCCCACAGGTTGGATTCCCACTGTCGAAGATGGTAAGACCAGGATGGATTATTTGCCACACTGAGAGCAGTGATTTGCAGAGGGAGCCATGGACCCATGGAGGGCAGCCAAGCATTACCCAGCACAAAGCATCCACCTTTCCCAAGCAGCTATGTGCTGCTTTCACCCCTGAGGGGAGTCCAGCCCCACTGACACTTACTGGTGGGAGTAGCCAGCCCAAGCATGTAAGGGAGATACTGACCTCAGGGGCTCTCTAAAAAAGAGAGCAAAAAATTGGAGCTTGAGGAATTACCCTTTGGTTATTAACATTGTAGAGGAATGAAAAATCTATGGCTTTTTAGCTTGTTCCCTTCAGCTCAAAAAATGGAAGTGATGAGGATAAAATCAGCTTTCTCACCATGGTGAAAATATCTGAAGAAAACTTCTGCTTACCTTTAAAAATGGTCTCCAACATCACACTACAAAAATATTACTACTATTTCAATCTCACAATTGCTTTTGGTAGGAAGAAAATAGGATTGCATAGGTTTTGGTGTGAGGTAGCTCAGCAACAGATCCCTCCTGATGCTGTTTCAGTGGCTGATAAGGTGGAATTTAACATTTTCCAGATCCGGACTGGGCAGCAATCTTGTTTTCCGTTGCCACAGCATTTAAAGTTCTGTTGTCAAAAACTGCATGTGCTGCAGATATCTTTTCCACCTTCCCTCCTCCGCCCACTTCTATGAAAGAAACCCTTAAAAAAAAGTTATCCTTTTCTTTGTTTTCCATTTGGAATGCTCACTGACAATGCAGCAGCGAGCTGCTCATGCGTTTTGGGTATTGCCTCATGCTCAGAGAGTATTAAGAATATGCCCGAGTGGCACAGGGGGAAAATCATCTTTGGGCTATGGCAGAAGAACCTCTTGGTGGCGCTTTTGCACACCGTGT